GGAATAGGCGGTAAATCAGATTAGGAAATTGCTCACGAGCGTCTGACGGAGCCCGATCTAGGACAGAGGACTTCTGACAGTAAGGCCCTTAACCAAATCGTGCAGTGGAGCTTCGGTTTCTTGTTTTTGGCCATGCCGCACGGCACACGGGATATTAGTTCCCCGCCCAGGGATCGCAGTTCCCCGACCAGGGATCGCACCCGCGCCCCCTGCAGTGGAAGCGCGGAGTCTCAACCACTAGACTGCCAGGGAAGTCCTGGTTTACTCTTACCAGGGGCAATCTTTGTGTTTCTTTTTTAATCTGGATAGAAACACCTCTGCTATCCAAAGGCAAGTGAATTCCTCTTTGACTGAACCCTGAACAATGACCCAAACCCTCTTAGCATTCTAGAATGTGGGTTTACTGATTATTTTATGAAATAAACTTTATAGAGCGCCTGCTCTCTGCCACGCGTTCAGCCACGTCGTGGGGATGAACATGAATGCAGTCTGTCCCTGCTTGACTATAAATGGGCCATGAAGGAAGTGAGTGCTCACGGGTGCTGTGTAGTCCTCTCCACCAGCTTTCCTTAGACAACCGTCAGGTCATAACGGATGTGGGACTTCCCTGGCGGTCCAGTGGTTAAGACTCCGCGCTTCCACGGGAGGGGTCTTGGGTTCCATCCCTGCTTAGAGAACTAAGATCCCGCATGCCGTGTGGCACGGCCAAAAAAGTAAACTAAGGACATAATAGACGTGATGGGATGCATTTGATTTCCAGTAGATTTGAGATGTCTTAATTTTACAAGATTTGCCCCATCGAGCTGGACCATATCCGGGCAGAAGTGCATTGGGGTGGGGGGCATGCATGTGTACATCATACATGTGTATGAGCATGCGTGTGTGTGAGCATGCGTGAGTGTGAGTGTGCACGTGTGTGTTTAAAGCCCACGTGCAGCCAGCCACCAACCCCCATCTCAGCAAACTGACCGTCCCCTCATCTGTCAAGGGAGAGAAGCACACACCTCAGGATCACCTCAGGAGAACCCATCCTTTTTTTTTTTTTTTTTTTTTTTTTGCGGTACGCGGGCCTCTCACTGTTGTGGCCTCTCCCGTTGCGGAGCACAGGCTCCGGACGCGCAGGCTCAGCGGCCATGGCTCACGGGCCCAGCCGCTCCACGGCATGTGGGATCTTCCCGGACCGGGGCACGAACCCGCGTCCCCTGCATCGGCAGGCGGACTCCCAACCACTGCGCCACCGGGGAAGCCCCCCATCCTTTTAATAGCCAGACTTTCTGGAAACAAACTCCGGGTGATGATGTCGAGTTCCTGGATCATTTAATTAGCTTAAGCTAATATTTTCAGTGAGTTTTAAAATGTTATGCTTTTTAATTAATGTATTTACTTTTCAACTTTTTATTTCCAACTCATCAAAAGTTGTTGTGTTTTGGGTTTTGGTTTTTTCTCTGGTGCTCTAGTCCCATTGGTGTTTCTGGGAAATGAGCCTCCAGCATGAGGATGGTCAGGCCTGGGGACTCAGCGGGGGTGGGACCCTGGCGTTGAGGACCAGGGTTAGGTTTATGCATCGCGTGTGCTGGGGTTTCATCTCAACACAGCCCTGAGGCAGGTATTATTCTAGACAAGGGAACTAAGGCCAGGGCCGCAAAGTGACCCGTCAATGGCCAAGTCACACCGGGTCTGCCGGACCCCTGAACCCACCACTCTTAATTTACATCATTTTGCATCATTAGAGACCAATAGTGTTTTCTTAGACTACCTTAGTTCCAATTCTACTTGGTTACAATTTAATGGCTTCAAAAAAGAATAAGAAAGAGAAGAAAGGAAGCAAAAGAACTGAATGGGAAATAAGAAGGAAGGGGAAGAAGGAAGGGAAGGAAGAAGCACATCCCGTCGGGCAGAGATGCTTCAGGACCAGCGGAAGGCGTTGGACGGGCTGGGAGGTGGGGTGCGGGGGACCTCCCACCACCCGCTAAAGGTCCAGCTGCTATGGGGACATTTTGGGTGTCTTTCGAACGGTCCTGAATCAATCACAGTGTTGAACCCAGGATTCTTTGGGAGGCAGACAGGGTTCCAGCCGCAGCCGCTCCCCTGCCAGCTCTGTCTCTCGCTCTGAAGAACGGAGTTCTGGCTTCGAGGGGCTCTGCATGAGGCCCCGTGATGCTTGGCACAGAGCAGGGACTTTCCTCTCAATGGAGTGAAGCTGACCCAGTTTTTAGACTGTTTAAAATGAATTCAAGAGGAAAAAGTAATGTCTCCCCCAAATTTCCCAGGAAGCTGACTGTTCAGCTGCAGGGACAGACGTTTTGTTTCCTTGGTAAGCGCACGTGAGCCGTGAGATGGCAGTGTGTGCGGAGACGCAGGCCCAAGAAGCAGGGGTGGCGTCTCACCACCTCCCACACCTGCAGGCGGTTGGGGGCTCGCTCCCACCTCCCAGAGCTGCCCACCCACGCCAGACGGTAGAGGCGACCCGTGTAGCCTGTACTCTCAGCTTTCTTTGGCGCCTGGTTTAAGACGGGAATGAATCACATCTCCTGTGTCTCTGGGATTCCTTTGTAGTGGGGTCGAGTCTCCTTTTGGCTTGGGGATGGGAGGAAAGGGAATGGCCCTGTATCCAGAAAGAAAATTAGAGACCTCCCCCTCTCATTGGGACGCTCCCTCTAAAGGTCCCAAGGGACGCAGGGAGTCGGACGTCAGCCTTTCCCAAAAGGGTGCTCACTGGGAAATACTTCCCAGGGCTCGGAAGGAGCTGCCTTGTGTGATAGGAAGGACACACGCAACTCGACTTCTCTGCTTGTCCTGAATTGATCTGTCTTTTCCCGAGACTCTGAAACGGCATGTTACAAATTAGCGGCCCGGTTAGCCTCTCGTTTTATTCCTAATATTCCAAACGTGTAAGCTGAGCTCCCCATCATGTGACAGCACCTGCGTGTTATCTCACGCGATCCTCGTAAATTGGAGGTGGGGGGGCGTCATTTGCCCATTTTACAGATCAGGAAACTGAGGCTCAGAGCTGTTAAGGAAGCAGCCCGAAAATAACACAAAGCTCCGGGTTCCTCTGTTTTCCTGGCCGTGCTCCATTTCTCGAGAGAATCCGTTGGGTGTTTTGCGGACTGGCAGAGACTGGGGCTCTGGAAAGCCCTTGGTTTGAGTCTGGTTAGCTTGTGCACACCTCATGGAGCTGGTGGCGTTTACAGAGAAAACTGGCTAAATCTTGGGGGGATATCCCCCTTTTTGGAGGTGGGGCCCTTCTTTAAGCCCTGAGGTAGCTCTACAGGCAGAGTTTGTCTGGCCCAATGTGCTCCCCGAGGCTATGGAAAGTCCTCGGACCCAGGAGGGACGCTGTGATCTGAACTCCTGGGATCTCACATTCCCAAAAGCCCTTTGGTGGGAGCCACTTAATTGTTTTTGCATTTGCAAATTACCCCAAGTGTGGCTGTCCATTCGGTCCATTCGGGGGCCTCTGTGGGCTGTTCAAGGATCCAGCTAGCTTACTTGTACCAGCAGACCTGGCCCTGGAGGCCTTCTCTGGGCTGGACAAGGGCAGTGGTCTTAGAGCTCCAGGTAGCCGCCGGCCCGATGTCCCTGGGGCGACAGCGCCGCTGCCAAGAGTCCCGGCCGATGTATGGTCAGACGCTCAAGGCTCCGCTGCCTGGCGACAGCCGTTGTCCAGGAAACAGGAGAGCCTACACTGACGGGCATGCGTCCCTCTGAGCCCCCTGCTCCCTGCCCCTCCTGCACGGTGCCCCGCACGCAGGCTTGTCATCACTTTGCCTCTGCAAGTAGAGCCGGCAGGGTTTTTATCTTCACTTTGAAAACCACTGTCTCTCCTGGGAGACGGAGAAACAGGCGGCCGTCGGGAGTAATGAAATGTCCGTGTATCCAGAACCATCTTCACTTGTGGCCTTATCTCGTCAAGGTCCTGTAGCCCAATCCCCAATTTCCAAGCTCTCGGGCCTGATGTCAGTCTTGTCCTTGGTGGTGCACAAGGCAGGGTGCTCCAAAAGGCTAGAAGGTCCGAGCCCTCCGCAGGCTGCAGGTAAGGAGCCCACCCTTGGCATGTCCTTACTGTGGCCTCGGTCTCCGTGGCAGGTGGCGAAGGACACTGGGGTCTTTCCTTTCATCGTTCCTTGCATGGGGGTCAGTGGTTTAGCTTGGGAGGCACAGGATGGGTCTTTACTGAACTGGATGCTGAGAACCGTCAACCTGCCCTCGTGTGATTTACTCATCATGCTTGGTGGAGATAATGTCAGCCCGGCTGGGTGACAAGCCCCCATCCCAAAACAGGCAGATGGAGAATACAGACACCTCTTGCCGCAGCTCTAGATAGTCTGCTGAATAACAGACGTTTGCTTGCTCTGTTCCATAGAGCATACCTCTGGTTGTCTGTTGTACCCTCTTTACTGCTCTGCGTGGAATTCTCCCAGTGGCATAGCTCACTCGCCTTTTTGTGTTTTGCGAGCAGTGAGGTGGGGCAGACAGAGGAAGGACTTAGAGTCAGACGGCCTGGGTTCAAATGCCAGCCTCTGCCCCCCGCTGATCCATGATCTTGAGAAAGGCGCCTCTGAGCCTCAGTCCTCTGATCTGTGAAATGGGTCAGGTGGGGATGAGCAGTAACGTCTGTGATGCACCCAGCGGAGTCTGACCCAGTAGGGGCTGGATCGCCGGGCCCTTCTGTGCCTTTGAACTTGGAAGATAGAAAGTATGTTCTTCGAAATGCCGAGCGGCCGCAGGGTGGTTGGCTGGAACGTCAATGAGGCATCACTTCACACATCTGCTCTCGACTTACCACATCCTGTGCGAGGCCCCAGGCACTCCCCAGGCCACATTCCTGCGGGGACCTTCGCCAGCTGGGCTGGTTCCTCAGCCCTTAAAAGTACGAGTGCTGGCGACTTTTCTTTGATTGTTTTCCATCTTTGAGCATGACTGTGAAGTGGGAACTGACACATGGAAACCCAGAATCTGTGGTGCGCTGCCCTGACAGATTGATTTTTCCCTTCCAGCCGGGCGGCGATCGGATGGGGAGGACGGAAGTTTCAACGCGGATAACAGGAAGGTAATGCAGGGGCAGACCTGCTTCCGTGGGGACTTCTCCAGCTTCAAGCCTCAGGCTCCTCCCCTTAGGTTGTGCTCCTTAGGGATTAGGCAGGGCCACATGGAACGGGGACCAAATCTAAGTCCCCTTACAGTTAGGACTAGCACGTCTACTGCCGAAGTCCTCATTCTATGCTGTGTAACCTGGTCATGGTCTAGAACCAAGGAGATGTCCGATAGGAAAGGAAAACAGATCAAAATGCATATGTGAGGGTTTGGCCCATGGGCTGAGTTTGCCCGCCCACCCTGGCCCAAGAGGTACGACCCCCTTTGCTTGTCTTTAAGGAAGGTAGGTGTGTGTGGAAAGAGCCCAAGGCTGGCTCACCCTGCTGTCCCCTCGTGAAGCCATGTGGGCCCTGACCTCCCTGAGCCTCCGTTTCCTCCTCTGTAAAGTGGGGCGATGCCACTGCAGGTGACCTCAAAATTCACTTCTGTTTTTTTTCTCAGCAGAAGACCAACTGGCTGCTTCTCAAGGGGGACGGAGACACTAGGACCAACTCTCCAGACCTAGACAGCCAGTCTTTGGCCCACAGTAGCGGGACTGATAGAGGTCCTCTCCAAACGATGCCAGGGGACAACATTTACTCACGTGAGTGGTTCTTTTGAGCAAGGAGCTGTCAGTGTGGCATGAAAGTCCTTACAGAAAAGGGGCCCACAACCTCGAGCCAATCCCCCCCAGATCTAAGCCTTGCTCATTAAAAACTACGAGAGCAAACCCACAGAGTGGCGAGCCCGGTAGGAAGCAGACCAGTAGCCGTGTGCCGGCTTCCCTTGGTGACACCCTGATTCAGCCAGCCTGCTGCCCAAGGGCCACGCCAGCGTCTCCCGGAACTCTCCAGAGCCGGCAAGAGGGCAGAAGGCCAACTCAGGCTCCTGGGCTCCTTTGGGAAAAGGGCTTGCAGGCTGCCAGGCTGGAAGTTGAGGGCCCGGCTCCCTCCGGAGCGGACAGGAGCATGGTCCAGGGGGGCGAGTCCAGACTCGGAGCCGAGAACGGCATTATCGTGTCTCCTGTGCTCATCTTGGGCAAGGGGCCGGGAGCTGGGACTACAGATCCTCAGGGAGTGCAGGAGACAAAGACCCCGTCTGCCTGATCCGGGGGGTCGTGAAGCTGCAGTAGGCGTGACCTTCAGATGCCGGGCCGAACTCCCCATATAACATTCTTCACGTCCAGAGGCTGTAAATTACAGGCGGAAACGACAGCAAGCTGTCGTCTGATGCCCGCGGTAGACGGTGGGCAGAGTCTTTGGGTCTCAGCAGCTGTGGGTGGGTTTCTGTGGAGAAGCTGGAGGCTTAGCTTGGAAGCAGAGGCCAGGAGGGGATGGTTGTGGACGTGAGAAAGCCAAGGAGAGACACTGGCTTTGCCGTAAGACAGACCTGAGTTCAAATGGTGGCTCACCACTCGCTGGGCCCCATTTTCACCTGTGTGCCCGGCGGGGTCGCTAGAGACCCGGAGGAGGTACCACGTGTGCAGCCAGCACTTGGCCGGGCCCGTAGTAGGTGCTCATCGTCATCACCACCATTCTCGTGACTGTAAACCGTCTCGCAAATGAAAGTGCGTGTGTTCCGACGTGGGAAGAGGGTGAGAAGCGTGGAGGTGATCACTGGTTAAAGAAGACGCCTAAACAGAGAAAGCGTGTGTCGTTTTGTGTGTGATCTCTGTAAGCAGATGTCTGTGTGCCCCGGGCCCCGTCCGCCTGGGCCTCTGCTCTCTAAATGGGACCCAGAGCCGGAGCACAGGGCTGACATCCCCGTTGGAAGGTCACACCGGCGAGTCCCCCAGAGGACACCAAAGCGTTAGCCCCGGGACTCGAGAGCACCCAGGAAAGGACTATCTGGGGTCCTCAGGGTGGTCTTTTCTAGCTTCAGTCCTTCCCTTGCTGGGAGGTGGGTGGGCCCGCATCTGCAGCTCCCCGCGCTGTCTCATCTAGGGGGGCAGCTGCTGTCCCCAGGGAGTCCCACTTACCTTCCGCTCTGCCTGTGGCTTGGGGCTTAGGGAGGTGGGGACACCATCTGGGGAGAAGCCTGGGCAGGAGACGGGCCGCCCCGTGGGGACCTCCCTGTGCCGCGCTGACCCGTTCGTGTTTCCTCACCTCTGTGCACTGCTTCCTCGTCTGCACGTGCTGGACGAGGCGCCCTGCGGTCGTCCCAGGTGTCCCCCAGACGGTAGGCCCTGTGAGACCCGGAGGCTGTGCAAGTGTTTTGGCCAGTCACACACCTTCAAGGTCTGTTTGTCAGCCCCGTTCCTTGCTGCCATGTTCCGATCACAAGCTGCAGGTGTAGCCGCGGATGGGAATGGACCGCCTCCCATCCAGGTGTGCCTGGCCGGCAGGAATTGGAAAGCCTGTGCTAGAATTCGTGCTCTAACTGGGGCGAACCCTGCAAAGTGCAAACAACCTGCGTGCGTGTGCGTGTGTGTGCGCGTGTGTCCTCCTCCTTCAGGGATGCAGGCTCACGATGACCATGACAATGGTTCTGTCATCCCTTCACTTTCTACACATGTTCTGACGTCAATTCCTCCGAATGGGAAACCCACTGTGTCTAACAATTGCAACTGTGCCTTTATTTCTGTCCTGGTGACATCGCCTTGTTTCCCAACGTGCATGGAAATAGCAGCGAGGACCCAGGCTGCTGGTCGTGCCTAGGTCAGGCGTGCCTTGCTATCTGCCGGTCTCTTGAGACATTTGGACGGGATGAGCACACTCTTAAACTGAGAAGAGAGGGGTATCCGCCTTCTTTTCTCGGGTTCCTTCCAATCTCACCATGTAGCCCCCAACTGCGAGTCCATCGACACCAGTTTCATTTGCAAACAACCGTTATTGAACGAAGTGTTTGCATGTGGCAAGGCACGCCTGCCGGCATCCCTGGGACGTCCATCTGTAGCGCCCCAAGGAGGGGAGGATTGTGACACTCAACACAGTGGGCGCTCAATAAATGTTTGTTGAATTGAGATGCATTAAATTCAACGGGTATTTATTGAGCACCCACTCTGTGCCAGACGCTGTGTAGGGCACCGAGGGGGAGACCGAGAAGAGCAGCCCCTGACCCAGAGACGCGTGCAGGGAGCTGGGACAGGCAAAGACGCCGTTGAGAGCAAGTGTACACGCACCCTGCCGCCGCCTGCCTGGGGTCCTCCGTGGGCTCTCCGGGGCCACGCACAACCTCATCCCACTCATGACACCATCAGCACATCTCACCTGAGACTGAGTTCATCATTCAGTCATTCATCCACCCCTTCACCAGACATTAACTGAGCACCTACTATGTGCTGAACACAGTGCTAGGCAGCGGAGAGGAGGTGGTGAATATGGCCCAGTGCCTGTTCCCCAGGGAAGCAGACAACTGACAAACCATTGTGACATCCCTCTCCGCTATGGCAGTGGTTCTCAGCCAGCACTGACAGCCCCTCCGAAGGAGGTGTCATTGAAATACACACTGTATGACAGACAGCTCGTTTTCCTTTATGCTACACTTAGGGCATTATCTGGACTATGCATGTAGTAGGTTATATTATTGAGGAATCTGATTTCTGCACAGGAAAGGGATGGTATTGAGTTTCTGTTACAAGAAGAGGGTCTTGAGCCTTACAGGATGGGATTCACTGCCCCAGCAGAACACGAGGTGGTGTGGGCCCCCCTCCCCTGGTCTAGACCCTGTGGGCCGGCCTGCTGCTCCTCTGGGTCCCACCTTCCTAACCCTTCGTGTCCTGTCCTCCCTTCTGAGGTTTCCCACATCCCCGCCAGGTGGTCACAGGTGTGCTGAAGTAAGACAAAGCCCCAGGCCAGCTGGAGACCCTTCCCTGAGGGCTCAGTGACCCGTGGAGAGGACCCCACCCTGCCAAAGGGAATAAGGCCCTTCCTCAAATCCCAGCACGTGAGGGGAGTTAGGGTGGGCTTGGAGGTCGGGGTGAGGGAAGCCCCACCTTAGAGACCAAGGCGGTGCAGATGGCTGGTCCCGTGGGGACCACTGCACACCCACCCGGCCTGTGGTTTTGCCGTTTTACGTCACCCTCTGTGTGTCTGTCCCCGTGGAGTCCCGTCCCCTTGTCTTCGCCTGCTGCCCACCCAGTCCAGTCCTGGTCTGGGGCTGGGATCTGAGATTGCTTCCTGGGTCACCCACCCCCAGCGCCCACCAGTGTGAAGCTCGGGAGACAGCACCTCTGTTCCACTTTTCCTTCCCTGCTGGCAGGAGGAAAGCGGGTTTGAGGCCTGGCCAGAAGTGGCTTTCCTCACCCCCTGTTAAGTCCTCTGGAGCTTCCAGGCAAGAAAAAGTCATTCTCACATTTCTTAGTCCACGGCTGAAAGAGAGAGAGACCTGACTCGCTGTCTGCCAACCCCATGAGAATTCTGGGGGGTTGGCCATCCTCAGTCTAGGCATTGGGACCTGAGGACCCCAGGGGCAGGATCCACGAGCATCACCCTGACGGGACCTCAGTCCTGGCCCTCATTTTTGGACAAGCAAGAGAAGGCCCAGAGACAGGGTGTGACCGCCGAACAGGTCCTGGGGCCTGAGCAGAGGCCAAACGGACAGCACCCCAGCCCCGGGAGCTGACGGTCCAGAGGAGGCGGGGACACGGACAAAAAGCACATTAGAAAGTAAGGCCCATGGCGCGTGCAGGTCGGGGGGCCAGGCGCTGCCGATGGCTCGGGGGAGGGAGATGCTGAGTGAGCAGGCTTGAGGGCTGCAGGCTTGAAGGGGTAGGTGTGGGAGTGAGCCCTCCTCACACAGGTGAAGCCTGGCTGCCGGGCTCTGCGGGAGGGCTGGACCTGGGATGCGCAGGGTCACAGAGGGTTCTCTGGGCCTTGGGAGGGCTCGGCCTGGCCTCGGAGTGGAGGACAGACCTAGGGGTTCTCAGCAGAGCCCTGGCCGCCTCTGACTGAGGTTTCAGCCGGACTGTCGGGGCAGGAGGGGAATTGCCGTCATCCAGGCTGGGGGAGGGTTCTGGGGGAGGTAGTCTTTTGGGGGTGTCCTGGGGTGTTCTGAGCAGCAGTTTGGGAAACAGGAAGCCAGTGGGGAGGCGGGAGAGGGCAGCCAGAAACAGCTGGTCTGTGCGTGATGCTGGGAATTTTCTTCTCTGTCTGCTGGGGCCCGGGGTCGGTGCGGCAGGGCCGTGAGCAGGAGATGAGGTGATGTGTTTTATGTGTTCAAACACGGACGGGCAGCTTTGCAGAGGATAGACTGGAGGCTGCTGGGCTGGGGCTCAAGGGACTGGGGTGTCCAGATAAGCCATGGGGAGGCCCCCCTGAACAGTCTAAACAGCAGGACTGGTACAAGCAGTCGGGGAGGGGCGGGGCAGGGGCGCGGAATCAGGAGTGGCCGGGGCGTCCTGGTGCAGGCATCTCTTTTCACAGCTGGGCAGGAACAAGGTGGGTTCTTCACGTTGAGTCGGGAGGCCGAGATGCCCAGATGGAGCTGCCGGGCCATGGACGGATGGGCTGTGCGCTCAGGAGAGGATTCTGGGCTGTAGGCAGAGTCACAGGGGTCCTGGGCTCCTGGATGGGCCCGGGGACGTGGGGGTGGGTAACCTGAGACCCAGGCCCTCCTCCAGGTGGTTTCCTGAGCTGTGTTACTTCTCAGAAGGGTCCGAGGCCCAAAGAAACTGTGACTGTCCTGCTCAGCGCCTACCTCACTCCCCAGTCCTCGGGCCCTGTTTCCCATCTCCGTCAGACGCAGCGGGAAGATGGAGAAAGTGTGGGCAGGGGGAGGCCCAGGGATGGAGAGAGCCTGGGCCAGCGGAGGGGGCGGGGGAAGGCTGAGAGGGAGAGGCCCGAGGGAGCTGGAGGGCTTGCGTCCGGCACCCGGCATCCAGCAGGTGGCTGGGACTCCCCTGGGGCAGAGCCTGCTGGGGAGGGCATGGCCCGCCCGGCCTCCAGCTGGAGGGACGGAGTACCCCCTGCTCACGTTCGGCCCCAGCAAGAGCAGTGAGGGTTCCAGACGTCAGGGAGGGGACCTCGGCCCAGGAGAAGCCACCTCCAGGTGCGAGAGGGGGGCACCAGGACAGAGCCCTCTGCCATTCCCTGGGGGCTGGCTGGGACTCTTCGCTTTTAGCAAAGGTCCCTGTGCCCCCCGTGATGGGCAGGCTTGCCCCCAGCTGGGGAACTGGACAGGGTGTGGCCTCAGATTTGTGGGCAGAGGCGCAGGCAGTGCCTGAGACCCTCAGGCGTCCGGGGGAAGGAGCCCACGTCCCAGGTCACAGCTCTCAGGGCCTCCTCTGTCCCCCTACACACAACTCTGCCCAGGTCTTGAGATGTTCCCACCCACCTGGGAGCTCTGTCTCCCCTCCCCCGACCCCCACCAGGAGCACCTTATCTATGACTCTGTGTGTCCTTTTCTCCCCTGAGGACTGTTAGCTACTGGGGAGCAGGGTCCAGATGGGCCCCCCGTGCCTCCCCCTGTGCCCACAGCAGCCCCCCAGTGAGTGCCCACGGGGTGGCGGGTGCCCAGGTCTTCCCTCCTTCGTGGGCCCCAGCACGGCGGGGGCTGGGGCGGAGCGACAGAGTGCATGAGATCACATGAGGGGTCAGCAGAGATGGCTAGATGCGGGTGCGATCCCGCTGGGTTGAATCCTAGCCTCTCACTTGCTATGTGACCTTGGGTACGAGAGCAAACTTCTTTGAGTTTGGAATCGCCTCGTCTGTAAAAGTGGGGATGTTCCAGTCCTCCTGGCAGGCGGCACCCGGGCTTTGGGGCTCAAACGTGGGCATCCTGTGGGCTGAGCCCCGGGGTGTCACACAGAGCTGGTCAGATCCACAAGCCAGCCATGGTGAGTGGACCCCTCTCGCTTGCTTCTGAAGCCTGAAGCTCAGACGGCCCAAGGGGCCTCCTGTTCATGTTCCTGGGGGCTGAAGGGGGTCCCAGCCCCTCCTTCCTCAGACGGGGATGCCGAGGCTCAGAGAGGGGACCCGAACCTGCACAGGGCCACGCAGCTGCACGCTTACACATTCGCACATCAGTGAACTGAAAACCGTTCACCATCCCGGTGAAACTGACAAAGATCTGCCCAGGGCAGTGGCTTCCTCACCGTCGTCCACAAAGCACCCTGGATGCTCTGATGAGCCGTGTGCCTGCAGCTGCACCTGGAACAGTCATCCACCTGCAAGGGGCCTCTCCTTGCCCATCCGTCCAGTGGCTCCTCTAACCTCTGACAAGCCAGCCCAGAAGACGGACAGACCCAAGGAGACCCAAGATCAGTCCCAGCAGAATGCTGAGGGCAAGGTTGCCACGGGTGGGCTTCTGGGAGGAGGTGACAGGGAGCCTAGTTAGGCTGAGCTTGGACATGGGGCGTGGGCAGGTGTCCAGTGGTTACAGGGCCTGATACAACTCGGGGTCATGAGTACCCAGCTGCCACCTGTCCAGGTCCGGCACACCTGCCTTCTCCCTGTGTGCCTTCTCTCTCTCTCTAATATACACACAGCACACACTCTTAAGGCCAGCCAATGCCACAGGCCAGGCAGGTCCCTAGAAGACTCCCACGCCTGCAAGCCCTCACCAGGGCAGAGCTGCTGGAGCAGATAGGGTTACTGGTTCCCGAAGCTAGGGTCCTGGGAGATTGTCTCATCCTCTTCGTGAGTAACAATTTGATATTATACAGGTCACTTAATTTCACTAGGCCTCAGCTTTCTGAAACGTAAAATGGGCTCATGTGTAATGCCTTGGCTTGTGACGGTCAAGAAAATCTCTGAGTACGTGAGGGGACCTTTTAAACGGATGGTTCTCAATCACGGCTGCACGTGGGATCCTGGGACCTTGGAAATCTACTGATGGCTGGTCCCATCCCAAGAGAAGCCAATTCTAATGGGTCTTGATAGCATCCCAGGGATGTGAACTCTCCCTGCTCTTTCCCACTCAGTACCACTGAAAGGCCCAAGAACAATAGGTCAGTAGACAATCACAGAACCCTGGAGGGTAGAGAGAGGAAGGTGGACTGGCCAGAGACCTGAGGACTTAAGGAAATATGCAGGACCAGTGTCTCTCACCTCCCATGCAGTGGACAAGGTGACCAAGTAGATGACTGCCCTCCCTGGTACCCAGCAGAAGGCCCACTGGCACCCAGCAGCCTAGAAAATAG